CCTTGAGGCGGGCGCTGAACAAAGCCTGGCGGGGGAAGGGCTACACGGTCCTGCGAAAGGTGCTGGAGGCGGGCGAGGACGAGGAGGAGGACGAGGAGGATTGGACATTGCACCATACTTTCTACCGGTACTTGGTCCTTCTCGGCCTGCCCTCCGAGGAGGAGCAGCGGGAGAGCACGGGACGGGCCAGAGGCCTGAATCCAGTTTGGAAGGCTGTAGCCTCGTGTATTGGCCCCCATCCTGTCGGTCACGGCAAGGAGGATCAGAGTACTGCAGCCCCTATTGCCTTCACGATGAGCACACGCAAGCGCACCACGCGTGCCTGTGTTGCGGGCACACCCCTGCCTCCTTCCCTTGCTGCCTCCGACGTGACCACCAAAGAAAGAGTCACGCGCCAATACTGGCAAGACCACGCCTCTTTCTCCCTGAGACATGGCTCCCACCCTTCGGTTCTCCGAGGAAGGGAGCGACTTGCCGCGCTGCCCGGCGCTTTTTCCCTCCTGCGCGCCCTCCTCGACTACCTCCCCCAGCGCCGGCCCGGCATGTACGAAGCCTTGACATCCGAACTATTTGCCTGTCTGCGCGAGCCAGAGGAAAAGGAGACAGGGCATGACGCCCGGAGCTTTTTGGCCTATTACCGTGGTGAAAGCTTGCAGGGAGGACGCAGGAATCCCCGGACGGGCATGCCGCTGCGGGTTGACGTCTGAGGTAGGAATGCCGTCCGCAGGTTTGGAGATCAGAGCTTCGATTCCCTTGAGAAAGGCGCACATGGGCCTAGGTCGGGAAGTTCCTGCAAGGGAGGAGAGGCAGAGAGAGAGGAAAGGAGAGGAAAGTGCAGGCTTTGATTGATGGATAAGAAAAAGGATAAGAGTCCAGTTTGGCGGGGTAGCCTGAGAAGAAAAAGGAGGATTATAGTGGGTGATTTGGGGTTGGTGACGGATAGCTCCGGTGGAGGAGACAAGAGACCATAATCATGGCATAATGTGGTGGAAGAAGTAGGGGAGGCACATCCGAGGGCAACGACGAGGGGGAG